TCTTCAATAAGATTTGGGATGAGGAACAAGTACCAAAGACTGGAAAGAAGGACTTCTGATCAAAATACCGAAGAAAGGCGATCTCAGCAAGTGTGATAACTACAGGGGCATCACTCTTCTCTCAATACCGGGAAAAGTCTTCAACAGGGTATTGTTAAACAGGATGAAGGACTGCGTAGACGCCCAACTTCGTGACCAACAGGCAGGATTCCGTAAGGATAGATCGTGTACAGACCAAATCGCAACTCTACGGATCATTGTGGAACAATCAATTGAATGGAATTCATCACTCTACATCAACTTCATTGACTACGAAAAGGCATTTGATAGCGTGGACAGAACAACACTATGGAAACTTCTTCGACACTACGGCGTGCCTCAGAAGATAGTCAATATCATACAGAATTCCTATGATGGATTACACTGCAAAATCGTGCATGGAGGACAGTTGACAAAGTCGTTCGAAGTAAAGACCGGTGTCAGGCAAGGTTGCTTACTCTCACCCTTTCTCTTTCTCCTGGTGATCGACTGGATCATGAAGACGTCAACGTCTGAAGGGAAGCACGGGATACAATGGACATCTAGGATGCAGTTGGACGATCTAGACTTCGCAGATGATCTGGCCCTTCTATCCCAAACGCAACAACAGATGCAGGAGAAGACGACCAGTGTGGCAGCAGCCTCAGCAGCAGTAGGTCTCAATATACACAAAGGGAAAAGCAGGATTCTCCGATACAACACAGAATGCACCAATCCAATCACAATTGACGGAGAAGATTTGGAAGATGTAAAAACCTTTACATATTTGGGCAGCATCATTGATGAACAGGGTGGATCTGATGCAGATGTGAAGGCGCGGATCGGCAAAGCAAGAGCAGCATATTTACAACTGAGGAACATCTGGAACTCAAAGCAACTGTCAACCAACACCAAGGTCAGGATTTTCAATACAAATGTCAAGACAGTTCTACTGTATGGGGCAGAAACCTGGAGAACTACGAAAGCCATCATCCAGAAAATACAGGTGTTTATTAACAGTTGTCTACGCAAAATACTTCAGATCCGTTGGCCGGACACTATTAGCAACAACGTACTGTGGGAGAGAACAAACCAGATCCCAGCGGAGGAAGAAATCAGGAAGAAGCGCTGGAAGTGGATAGGACACACATTGAGGAAAGCACCCAACTGCGTCACAAGACAAGCCCTCACATGGAATCCTCATGGCGAAAGGAGGAGAGGAAGACCAAAGAACACATTACGCCGGGAAATGGAAATAGACATGAGAAAAATGAACAAGAATTGGATGGAACTAGAAAAGAAGGCCCAGGACAGAGTGGGTTGGAGAATGCTGGTCAGCGGCCTATGCTCCATTGGGAGTAACAGGCGTAAGTAAGTAAGTAAATAAGCAAAATGTGGTCGAGTGATGGATGTTTGTAAGAATACATTATCGACTCAGGCTCCTGAGTGATTTCTAGTCAATAGCTAGATTACTAGCCAAATGAATAGTTTCCATGAAATAGAATAACCTACTTATACACAAAATATGAACATTAAGATTTGGCGAGTATAAATGAACCAACGATAATAAAAGTAGTAAATCTAGAATTTCGACAAGAAATTCACTTATCCATGTGGCTAAATAGTATGTCGGCATAGTAAATGATGTCATTTCACGACGAAAATCCAAATTGTAATTCTTAACCCCAACTACTAACTGCTAATCTTAAACTTAATTATCCATACTAATTGAGAAACCCCCTTTGACCATAGTAATTAGATGAATATTGTCCAGGTCACTTGAACCCTGTTCATAAGTCATCCATACATGGTAATCACATTCAAGATTTTGTCTACAAATTCTTTGGTTGTAAATATGATTTTATTAATTCTAGAATGTATATTGCAGTGATTTATATTGTGACTTAAATGGATGAATATTTATTGTTTCCATACGTTTGCACTATTCGTGTGATAAGAATTACTGATTCAAAAATAAATCTTATCATTTCATTTCTATTCTCGTTTTATTCAAATCACTATATTTTCTCAAAAATTCATCTTTCCAAGGAATTTATTAGAATATGGTTGATCGACATTGATGAACTGTAATAATTTAAAAAAATATTTAATTACTAAGCAGAGCTCTCGATACAGTTGGATAGTCTTGTTCGATTCACAATCATTCTTCTTCATTTTTACTAGACCAACGTCTAACCAAGAGGTGTTGCAGCATAAAATTACTAGGTGGCAGAAAACGATGCAGATGACCCTGAACAAGTCAAGACAATCGTCAGATGGCGTTCACTGAAAGAACAGTTTATCATAATGAAGTATGATATTTACATATGATTATAATGATTAGTAAGTTATTTAACATAATAGATCAAACAAAGGATAAATTAAGAGGTTAACTTGGAGTGATAGGAGTTAGATTCAGGATTGAAGAATATTTTTCAAACGTAATGATAAATACTCATAACTATATTTAATTTCAACATTTTAATCACATTTATTTAATATTGAAGAAGTCAGAGATCATGTTGAAATTTTACATACATCTTATTTCGATTTGCTTATTATTGTTTTTCCCATGAAAATCAAATCACTTTCTCATATTCGATTTCATTAGCATTCTTTAATTTTTCGTTCATTAATTGGAGGTCTCAGTTAATAGATATTATTAGGTTTCATCTAGTCCTTACTTAATTACACATTTTTAAATCTATCCATAGTCGGATATGGAATTTCGCCCAAGTATCTAAGATCAGCTACCTTTAACCCAGTTAGTTTGGTGGTAATGTTTGCGTGTCCCAGTCCCTTACTTTCTGACATCTCAAATTGTATATTGACTGTTAAGACTAAATGTTGACAATATTTATAATATATTTAGTGTCGATTAAGGCTTTGTTGCTTCCGAAAACTTAATTAATCTTGAAAGTGTTGGTTTGTGAAAAAAACATTTATTTTGCATTGTGAATAAGCATTTTGTTGATAGCTTATAATCGACATGACCTCTTCCGAAGTATTTAAAAATTAAGGAACAAAACCCTTTAAATAGTATACATAACTCTGTTATTAATATTGGTTGTAATATCAATAACAATCACTATGCATGGGTTTGAAGAACTGACCTGAACAATATGTCGAAAATTTAGCTTGAAGTAAACCACAGACAATTTAATATTTACCCAAGTGATACTTGACCTGTGAAAACAGTTGAATTGAATGTTGCAGTATAATAGCTAGTCAAATAAAATGTTCTTTATCCATTATGCAAGTGAATCAACTTTTAATTTATAAGATGATTCTGGAACACGTAAATTCACATTAAATATTATACAAGCACTATAGGTACATTTTCCTTGTATCTACATGACGTATGTAACATCCGTGAACCACAGGTTTAATTGAAGAGTACGAACATAAAGTAACTGTCACAAGTTATTTTTCAAATCTTGTGATAATTCTATTTATATGTGCAATGTTAAATTAGCGATAGAATAAATGCAGACACCGGTTGTCAGTTTAAACTTTATTGGGCTTTATTAGTCAAACTTTAACATGTAGTAGTTACATAAAGTGTTCAAAACTATTTTAACTAGTAACTAGTAAGCAATAGATTCTAGTTTCCCTTCTTTTACCGTAATTTTGGCTTTTATTGTCAAATACATCTATCTGTCTAATCGGAACCGAATATTGTTCAGCAAAAATAAAATATGATCACATAATAAATATATCTATTCATGGTAAACATTATTAAATTTTATGTTCTTGACAATGATACTGAAATGTAGATCATAACTGATTTTCTTATTTGTTTTATTTAGGAGAATATCACATTTGTCTTTCTCACAAAAGTACAGATTCCAGATAAACACCTAACTACAAAATCAAATTATCATATCAACGTTTATTAATTCTTACTAATCTGACAAAATTTAACGATAAGTAACGAACTGAAATATGATTCTAGTATTATGTCAACCTGGATGAGTTGGTTTATTTACTGTTTCAAATGAAATGTATTCGAAATAATACTCATATTCGATATATAAGTATTTGTTCTGTGCTGAATCCTTGAAATAAACACGTTTCGACAACAATTCTTTAATATGAATGTTTTTTAAACTAAAAATGAGAAATATTCACCTTTTTATTCAGCGGTCTATAAGTTGTGTAGTCAATATGAAGTTTGAAAGTTGTAGATTTAAATCCTTGAAAGTGTTTATAACTAATGAGTACTGAATCAATCTCCGATTTTTCATTGGTTCTTCAGTTATTATTATACCATTGACAAAAATTAATCTCGGAACCGTTATGAATAAAGTCATCAACAAGAAAGAGAATTCTGTATACTTTCAAATAAATCCAGCAAATAGGCAACTAAGAAACATGTTTACCTAATGACCAAAACACTCACAACACATTCGTTAAGTGTTAGAGATTATGAACATTAATACATAAGTACTCAAATTGTTTAATGACAATAAAATGAGAAGCAAAAAATACACTTGAAAAATCAATTCTATTCATCATTGTTTATTTCAAATGAGAAAACAAAAATCGAAACAGACAAAATAAAACAACAATAATGATGCTCAATAACTAATATTCAATAAAAAAAAGAAATAATGACTTTAGAAAAAAATTACATTTATCAATTAAGTAGCTGATTACAAAATTATGGAAATACTTATTTTGTATTTTTTTTTAAAAAATGATATGTGTATTTGAATATTTTTAGTCAGTAGTATATTTTCTTGTAAACAAAAATGTTTATATGTAGAAATTCATTTAATCCATAATTTGAAATTTCCGCTTGTTAATTTGATCATTCATATTTAAAATAAGTTTATATTTCTTTGATAACATTTACTCTGTTCAATTATGTAAGCTAAAATATTCGAATATATTTATGCATTGTAATATAAAAAGAAAATTGCTTATTTATGTTCTTTTTTTAAAAAAATTTTTTATTTTAAACTATCACAATACTTTGTTTATGGATTTAATAATTTAATACAATCTCGTAAACGATCCACTTCAAGATTGATATGATCTAAACTACTTTCCAAACATGTCTAGAATGTTTTTTTTTCGTTGAAAGAAAAATTACAAAAAAAGAATAGACGAACAGAATATTAACATGATGATTAATAAAACAAAGGTAAAAAGAAAACATGAACTTTATACATTTTACCAGTTACTAATAAACATATGATTATTTACAGTCAAATATATTTAAATAACCAAAAATGTAAACAAAAATGTCTGTTTATAGTCGGCTAAAATACCCAGGTAGATTGTGAATGAATACTGATAATATTCAGAATATTGATCTAATATATTATTAACTCCACTGTGAGATCTGAGACTAGTTATTAACACTGAATGCACCGAGTACCGAAAAATTTAAAATTATTACAATTTTTTCTCGACGATACTTGTTAATCACCAACAAAGAAATGTTGAAAGTTTTCACATTAAATACATAAATTGGTATAAACATAATTATTTATATAAACTATAGTGGGTAGAAACATAGTTTCTTTGCGTGAATACTACTATTAGACACTCAGTAGTTAAAGATTAAAGTGTGCACGGCTAAATGCTAAAAAACAAAAGTAATACATACGCATGCTTCTTACCTATAGTAATTTTCTGTAGCCGCAGAATTTAGTTTGTTGACTGAATTTGGGAACCTGATTAAAAATTCGTTTTATTGAACGTCTTTTTATATTCTACATGAATTACAATTATATGACATAAAAAAATTCATAGAAATAATGTGATCAGTGGTCTTTTCTATTACTTACATACTTTGATTTGATAGTAAGTAGTGCAACTTTATCATTGGCTAAACTAGAACTTATTTGCATTCTAACTATGATCGGAAAAATAACTTTCTGATATATTATTCTGTTGGCGTCTTCTAAACCGCAGAGGTATTTTTGATAGTTTCTTAAATTTATCAGTGATTCATTCTTTTGATATTGAATGTGTTAGAAAACTTGTTTATAATCTATGTCAGTCTGTTTGATGACAAGAATCAGTAATAGTATACCATAATGCTGAGGTAATAAAAACCAATATAGCAAGATTCTAAAATTAAGGCCAGCTTAGCATTCATTTTGAGAACCGCTTCGTTGAAAGTGACTTTATGTTGTAAAAATTACCTGATGTAGAAAGAAGTCACTACATTCAGAGGAGTTCTGAATTAAACTTAATTCAAACGATTGCTTAATAATAATTCAAAGTTTTTTCTCTTTTTTTCTGTTAAAAAAATCATTTCTTTATTAACATGTGAAATCTTAGTTTCTTTTTCATCGAACAAATACTTGAAACAAAAAAAACCTACTAACATAGATTTTAAACCAATGTAACATAATTTATATTGTTTCATCAACTATATCAAACATTTTATAAATTTTGTTACTTTTAACTACAAAATCTTAATTTTAAAGGTTAATGAGAGTCATTCAATAAAATGACTTTTATCATGAGTATCAATTCAAGTATGATACTTTAATATGATTTCTATCATTAATTAAAAGTTTATCAAAGCATTTATGTTATTTATCACTGTGATGTATAGAAAATTTTTAATTAAGATTCATCAGCATTAGTAACAGATCACAAAATACGTTATACTTATTTTTTGTTTTTACAAACAGGTGATTCTGGAATATTCAACTATGATATTTTATACAAACTATTATTCATTGAATAAAGAATGTTTTTAAACTAAATTGTATTTTCAGAATGAGTTTTGTGGAGATTTTAGTAGTTTTTAATAGTTGAAACCATGAGTCACCGTTGGATGCCAGCTCAGTGGTCTAGTGGTTAAGCGCTCGCGCGCAAGACTGATAGGTCTTGGGTTCGAATCTCGCGATGGGGGGGGCAAAATCGTGAGTGCGCAGTGCTGAGATGTCCCATACTAGGACGAAACGGCCGTCCAGTCGTTCCAGGTTTTCATGGTAGTCTAGTTTCAAATGACTCATGATTTCAACTATTTAAATTGTATTTATTGATGTTAAACTGTTTAGTTTTAAATTTGAAAAGTGGAAATATATTTGAATTCTTAATAAAATTCCTTATCTTAGAAACAAGATTGATTCGACTTAAATAATTTGAATTTATGCTTGGCCATAACTATCAGATAGGAAGTATAATCAATAATACAGGAATCAATGAAGCACAAACATTTATGTAATTAAGTTTCTATGAAATCGATAGTTAATAATTGGATGCAGTACATAGACACGATAATATATGTTGAATAAAACACTACGAACTTTATGATAATGATAGCTAAGAAAAAATACACAATCGTTATGCACACAAAAAATAGAGTTAATGATTTAGTGAAAAAGATAATGAAGTACTTTAAACTGTCATACTCCAAAAATCCAAGATTTTTGATCTTTGAACTATATAAATCAAAAATTAAAATTGTTAACAGTTTTTCAAACATACTCTAATCTCGAAGTATTGATGTGACATAGTACATAATTAAATCGAGATATGAATAAACATACATCTAATAAGTTGACTTGTTACAGATAATTGATTAAGTGTGTGGGAAATGAAATCGAGATTTCATAAAATATACGGGAAGCTAATTAGATACAAGTATGATGATTGTAGGTGAGACTAAAATTCAGAATAAAGATGTAGCGAAGTAGCGAATGAGATGTAAAAAGACTAGTATTTTGATATTTATTCGAATGAAATTCACATAAAAAAATCTGTGTGCATTAATCAATGAACAAAAATTAAAAATGGTGGATACTAGATTAAAACATTCGTCAGTTCATACTGCAACACTATTCTGCATGTCACATGTTCTTTATACCGAGCTTAGGATAGCTGACGTGGTTCTGTACTTTATTTCTTCTTGATACTTGGACGAGACATTACTTTAATAATCCAATACATAGAAGGTTTACGTTCAACCCACTAAAAAATAACCGTAGTTTTAGTAAGTCCAAACAAATAATTATGAACGTTTCTTCAGATTGTTTAAAAGTCTGAAGATGCACAACTTAACATGTTTTCATTAATTATCTGTATCACTATAAAACAAGTAGGCATTGTAATGTCCAGTTAACCTGTCATTACTTCGATTTAATATGTCAATCAGCATGAACGTTACGATGTGCAAATTAAATAACACGACAAATTTTTAATAAGTCACTGAAGTAAAATATACAAAAAGATTATTTAACTATTACATAAATAAATCAACGAGGTTGTCTAATGTCACATCCAGATTATGTGACAACAAGTAAGAAGCATTTTTAGTAAAATGAAAAGTTATCGACTGTAAATAAGGTATAATATTCCTATTATGTTTATCCGTTTTTCTATTTATTTCATTACAATACAGTACTAAGTTCACAGCCCGCGAGACGTAATTACATTAGAATACTTTTTTAATTTGAAGTTGGGTTTTATTTCAAACAGACATTGGTTAGAAAACTGTATAGTCAGGGAGAATAGCATTGAAATTTTGAAACGACCAAAGACAGACCATTACTGAAAACCTAGAAACACTGTACGACCATTTCCTTCTAGCGTGAGACTCCTCACGGTCATCGATCGCCATTAATATTCAATAAGATTTGATAGTCGTCCAAAATTTCTCGACTATACTAATCTCATTTTTCAATATCATTTCACATAATCATCTTTATAAAATGATTAGAAAAATGAGTCATACCTTATTTCACACTTTGAATTACAGAGTATGAATATATATATGTATATATAAGCACTCACAGATTTTAGTACTAAAGGAAAACCTTCAATAGCAACTAGAAGTAACTCTTTAAAATAAATAGTCTTGATAATTCTGTTTCATCTCACAAGAAGTCATAATTGCAAACTTTTGAGGAGTCCAAAACTAAGATGAAACAATAATCAAATGGTGCACAACGAAAAAAATACTTTAAAACTGGATTGAATCTATACTGAACCGCCGTTTTTAGATTCACAATTACCACTTTAAAAGCTCAAAAAACTATCTATTAAGCTAGAAAAACGGATTATTGTGAAAAATGAATTATACGAAAATGCTTTTTCTAATTTTTATATCATGTTTTAATGATTAAATTAAAAACAAACTCTAGTTTTCGTTCCCTTTCAAAAACATTTTATCGAATACAACTCATGTGCATTAGTTTACCACTGATTTCCGGCTTTTAGTGACAGTACAAGACAGTTGTACATGGAATTTATTTGAAGGAAGCTTCTGGTTTACATTAAAAAAAAAATAAAATTTCCACTGTATAGATTTCATAAAGGAAAACATAAAACACGATAGCTTGAATATTGATTATAATATGTTTTCACTAAGTTGAAATTAACAGAACAAGACTAAAAATCATTTATTGTATGTTGGAAAACTATTAACACAATCACACCAACAACAACTACAACTAATACTAATACTATTACTACTATTAATACAACTACTAATACTGTTAATAAATGTAGTTATAATAGCTTCAGCTTTGGCATTTTACTACATTTTACCTTCTTTTTATAAGAAATATTCAATTCCTTGCATGATCGACTTGAAACCAATTCATCCTTTCATGTTCAAATTAATATCACCAATCAATTGTTAAAATTCAATTTTATTGTATAATTGATCATTCCGTTTATGAAAAAATTATGATTTTATCATTAATTATAAGCATTAACATCATAATCATCATCACCACCATCGTCAATGTTAACATTCCCATTTTTCATGATAAATAATAATAAAATAATATTAAAGATAAATTACTTTTCTTTTTAAAAACAAACTTAAATAGTAAATACTTAACAGTAGTAAAAGAAACTGAAATTTGGGCTTTTTAATTTACATTTAAATTACATCATCGTTGATTTCATTGGATTACATTTTGACTAATAAATTATTTATTAATTTCATTTCAATGTTCAATAATTATACTATGCTATTACTAAACGATATAATTCATAAGAAGACCTTTCATAATTTATTTTAAACTATGATACTAATGCATATATATATAATAATAGTTATTATTATTAAAATAAGAAGCATATCACTTTTACCGCAAACAAAAATTACATTTGTCTTGAAATAAGGTAAGGTGAATAAATTAAGGAAAAATACATAGAAAAGTATATGATACATATGATCATTGTATACAGATACAATCACTTTTCTGTATGCATTTTGCGAGAAATTCATGAGAATAACTACTTATTATATAACTAATAGTATAAATGCTCAAAATGATATTTTTTTCTATACTTTTTTATGGTTAATTAAAAATAGTGAACTAAGTGAAGAGATCAGGTCATGATAAACTATTTTAGGGGAAATGTAAGAAAAGTTGACAATTTTATTAGTATATATTGTATTAAAAGGTATCCCAATAAACTATCGTAAACTATAGTGGTAATTTATACATGACTGAAGCTTGCTTGACAAAAAATCTTTCACAACATCCTTAATACTCATATTCTGGACTATTTAGCTTGCAACAATGTGTCTTCACAAAACTGCCCATCCCATCGAATAACTTTAAAAAGGTGTCATACAGTTTGATGTGACTTATTCTTTCTTTTACTATTTCACTTGTTGTTAGGTAACATTACGTTACAATGTGGAAATATAAGCGAGTTTTGGACTGTATTTGTCAAGAGGTGACTACCTTTTGAGACCTTCCACCAGTGATTTTGCTGAAAATAGAGAAATTATCTTCGATAATTTTAATCATTTTTTAAAAAGTCAATTATCTAACAAACAGATTGGTATTCTTATAAATATCATTTCTTGTTTGATATCTTGCGTTTACTTAACATTCTGATTGTTAAAAGATGATTCTTACAAATTTTTGTCAAAGTTTTGAAGTCATTCATTTTAGTTGCAAAGATATATGATACCTAATCTTTTAAGAATAAATCTCATGAAAAAAACTTAACAAATAGCTCCGTTTCATGGATGATACACTTATACACAACAAAATCTCTGATAACTAGATACAACGTTTAAAATGGCATTTTAAATATTCATATCCTATATACTGAAAGGATAGATCAAAAGAATATTCAATCAAGTGTTGAATCAAACAACTTTTCAAAATTTAATAAAATTATATTGTACAGTCGTCAAAAATCAAACTCAAATCTAGTTACACTATTACATAACATTGATTTGAATATAATTACCACTGATCTAAAGGATAAATTTCAAAACTGAATATCTGTTTATCAATTAAATGTTTACTTATAATATCGTCTAACGTTTATTTTTTAAAGTAAGTATTATTACAGCTACTTCACTACATTTTATAAATATGACCTAACTAACGTTACTTTACAATGATTGAGTAAAACTGAGCGTTTTTTTCTGAAAGAATTTCGTTTTTAATTCTATACGTAAACATTCATGAAGGGTATTTGATTTTTATGCAATATTTACTACTTTTTCATAAAAAAAAGAAATTTGAACTAAGAAGAACATTATAATTCAGTTGATAAATCTAATTACACTCTAACAGATTTCACAATTATATCATAGAAATCTTCCATTCTTAACACTGAAATGACTAGGAAACGACTGATTCACTCACGAGTAATCTTTTTGCAAAAACATGTAAAGTTATCATGACGTTTCTATAATTTGTTTCAGTGACTATTTGATTTAGTTGATTAAACTGATCAAAGTAACTGTTTTTATAAATTAAATCTTAATCTAATATTACCTTTTCTGGAATTTTTAAATGATGTGATGAATATGACTGGGGAAAGTAAATTCGTTCATATTCGTTATCCATGCGATTGCCATGGCGTAAATAATTCGCATGTTGCATATCTCTTAAACGACGATCTGAATGTGAGTGAATAATGAGAGGTTGTCGATTTACTTGACGATTCAGTTTTACAGTGGAGTAAGGTTTTGTACTTAAATTTTGACAAGATGTATAATAATCTCTTTCCAGTGATTTTAAACGTTTAGAATTATGTAAATGTCCAAAACTGGTACTTGGTCTAGCTGACGATGGTACAGGGTATAAATCGTACGACCTGTTTAGTGCGCATTCATCCAAATAACCAGAGACTGATGCTGGACGATGTCTATTAAATCGAAGGCTGTTAGTACTGAATACAGATGGCAATACAGGCTGATCAAAAACTGGGATAAAAAGAATTACGATACATGATTATGTCAAAGGATAGAATTCGAACAATTTTAAACCAAATAAAAATAATATATGTCATCAGTGTACAGCATATCTTTTCCCTTACCTTCCTATTGTTAGTCAGTTTAGATTTAAGTGTTATCGCTTGTTAAATTATAGAAAATAGCAAAAACAAACAGTCTGACCGATGACAGGGGATGGACCAATATTATCTGGGAAGCAACTTACAGTTAATAAAATCTCCAATTTTCTACTCACTCGGATATTATTAGTATTTGTGCTCAAAGGAACATTATGAAGTTTGCTTTGAAAACTATTTTGTATCCACAATTTCTAGACTAAATCATTTTAATTACTTTTTACTAACAATCATACTACTTTTTGAGTAATATAGTAGAATAATCAATTACTGTAAATATTAAATGCTGCAGATACATTTACAAAACAGAAAAAATGTGATTGTCCATTAGATTCTCAATCCAATTATAAATAATAAGCTAGAATGGCTCTTGAATTTTTTTAAGCATATTGCTGAAATTTCTGTTTGTAACCGGACTAATAAAAGTCAGTTCTCGCTAATACACCCTCTCCTTTCATTTAGAGTGCCTAAAAACTCCGCAATAATAACTCATAATATATGTGGCTAATTTCACAGGTTTCTCAAACTTTCGCGGGAATAATCAATAGAGATAGCCTTTACTTAAATTCTATCCAGCTTCTTAAAGTAGCATAAATGTTGGTTAAATTTCAAGGAGTGCTTTTAGCAAATAAAATTTCATTTAACGTTTTTAACTTACTTTTCTTATATGAATACTTTTTATGTGAATGACTGGTATGAACTGTTCTTCGTTTTTTTTCAGTTGATGGTGATCGCCCAACAACAACTTGTACTTGAGATCTATGTTTTAATGATTCATCTTCAGTTGATAAAGCATCTTTTTTTAATGACTTAATGTGTTGATTAGGAGAATATTGATAATCGGATGCAATACTCCATTTTCTATGATAATTATTTGTTGAATCTCTTGGTTGTATCTCAATATCCATATCATCTTGTCTAGTTAAATTATTTAAATCTACTAAAGTATCCGATAAATCATCCATACTTTTTTCAACCGATCGATGCTGTATTAAATGTTCTGATTGATGATGAATCTGTTCATCATTGCCAATTGTTGTTGGTGACAAATCAATATTTTGATCATCAAGTGAATCTTTATGATCCTGTGTATTGATATTATTTTCACTTATTTTTGTAGTTATTAAAGAGTCGGAATGTTTTTGTTGGACAAATAGCTTTGTTTTTTACCATCTAATAATTCTACTGATCCACAGACTTTGAATGAATCCGATTTTTGTGGTATATACGTATCAGAATCATCTAAATTTTGATTAATACCAATTAGAGTGTTTTTGTTCTGTCTTTCATCTATTGATGCAGTCATTGTGTATATCTTTTGGTTTCTATCTAATGAACCGAAGTCACTTAGTACATATTCAGATTCATCACCAAGTTGGGTATGAAGTCGACTTATGGGTTCATCTTTATGAGATGAGTGTCTGACAATAAATCGGAGTGAAGAAAAAATAAAATGAATTGCACAGACCAAGAATAAAATTACACGAAAATTTCAAAATCCAGTATTTTTCACAAATTTCAATTACAAATGATTCTTACAGAATATGAGCGATGATGTGTTACATGAATAATTATTTATATTATATATCGATTTATCCTTTATTATATAATATATTAAAATGACACTTGCTAATAAGTTTAGAATTTATGTTAATTTAGATACTATGGGATAAGTAACATATAGACAGTGAGCTACAATCCAGATTTATCAGAATTTATTCCTTGCTTTACCGTTTTTCTGATTTAAAAGAGCTAGAAAACTCCCAAGAAAGACTGTAGTGTTGTCCTGATGCCGTAAGTAATGATTAATGTTATTTGAACTATATTTTATTGATAGATTACTTTCTTTGAACAATTACTAGTATGTTCCATATACATTATTTTCAACTTTATAAACAAAGTACACATAAAACGCTGTGGGGAATAATCCCCAAAATTTAGAAACCTTAACTGTTGATTACCAGAAAATTAGTTATGATCAATAACTTTTTCGAACTGTTTTACATTTATGAAATGAATTCAAATGTTCCAATTTACACTGAGCTGAGAATTAGAAAAAGTGGCTTTGCTTACAATGTTATACAGGAATGTTTTATCATTTATACAAATTCGGTGTTTAAAAAAATTAGACAGATTAAGATTTAGATTGATTAAGTGATACCGTTAATAGTAGTTTGTAGCAGACTTAAAATTATAAAGTGTCGGCTGACGTAAAAGCTCATATATTTCTTAACCGCCTGTCAAACCATTTTACAACACGCCTACATAACTTACCAAGCGTTGCTCAAATTATCTGTATTTACATTTCAAAATTTGTTTGTATGTGAGGAATGAATATTTTAACACTTGATAACAAGTATCCACAACAGTCTGTGATGTTAACCAAAAAAAACAATCTAATATTGAAAGTAGTAGTTACTGCACAGATATAAAGAGACTAATATAAACCAAAGTGAAATATATTGATTATTTCTGATATAAACAAATATACAAGAATTGATTTTATTATTACTTTATAAATAATATTCATTCTTACTTTTGCCGATATGTGTATTCTGCTCGATTTTTTAATTTATGCAAAGTTGATTCTAAATGTATAATTTTTCTAGAAAGTTCATTTTTTTCTAATAATAAATTTTGTAATTGACGATCTTTTTTTGCATGAGCTCGTTCTAAAATTCTTATATCTCTTGATAATGTATTATATTCATCTTCAACACGTTGAAGTAAATTTGATAAGTTTTGTTCTCTTGTTTCTGATTCTCGTAGCTAAATTTTAATAAAATAGTAAAAAAAAAATTCCATTAGAATTTCTAGTTTTAAACAGTTAACTAATTGATAAGTACAGATATTTACAATAACATGATTGTTATAATCAGGAGATCTTTTTTATTACAAATCGAAGGAAGACAATTAATACGTTTCTTTAAGTATATAGCAATCATGTTAGTCAATTGTTTATGTGGAATAGGGTATTTCGATCTTGAAACATTTGTAAATCTTTTGCATAAAGTAACTTATTGTTAATCAATGGCAGACTCTATCAAGCTAATCTTATTCAAAATCTAATTAATAATCAGAGTCCAGGAAACCTTGAAAATTTATATCGTGAAATATATTTTACGCTTTCATATTATCGTGGAATAAACGTTTCTCAATCATCAATTTCGTTTTTTGTTTCTATCCATTCGATTCAATAATTTCGTGGTTGGCTTGGCCAAACAGACGTTTAGAGGCTAGAAACAGCAGAAAGCTTGATTGTATTTAAATAGTAATGTGGTGTAGGTTACTTATATCCAAATAAGTAGTATATAACGGTGGTCAGGCATTGAATGTATTTCAGTAGAAGATCGAGAAGAAAAAAACGGAAACGGAACGCAATTGGTGTGCAAATGCATGAACATTAAAATCTGAGCCAATGGACTGATTTTCGCAAAACGAAACAGTGAAGTCTGAGACGATGGATTGATATTTTGCAAACTAACTATTTACTATATGGTTCTCAGCTTTTAGTGAGATGCTCTGTAATTTCATGACTAATACATTCTATTGTCTCCCTCGTGTTCGTGTTTACTACAGTAATTTTAATTCAGTAAGACAGCATGTTTCCCTTAGATTTATAGATGAACAACACTCAAAATTATCCATATGCCTTGACCATGACAGTAAAGTTATCTAAGAGAGAAGAAAGCACTTGAGCGAAATAGCTGAAGGTATCGAATTCACACTATTCCAAATGTCCGAATGTAGTTTTGCCTATTATAGCGAGAAACCTACTACCTTTAATTATCTGGTTCGAATCTTCTTCAAGGTATATTATTGTAGAAGTTTAGATATTGGATACATATTGAAAAATACAATGACTAAGTTTCTACTAACTTGTAGTGTCAGTCATTATTTTAAGCCCATATATCTTATATTCTAGTTTTTGGACATTCCATTTTATTCATTCTACTTGAGTCATATTTTGACCTCGTCAATTATTCACTTATCAGTCTTGACTGTTTTTATATATGAGCGTATATATGTGTACACTTCATATCCCATGACTCATCACATGTTTGTAGTTTATTTTTGTCTGACTATAAATATTGAGTAACGCTCGACTAAAATGGAGTTGGCTTCCCAGCCATCTTCCCTGCGTGTCATTTTGCTTGGCTCTGTTTCATTCACTTCATATACAAAATATATGTATTCACAAATAAATCCTCGTCATTGGACTTATTTAATTCCGTTATTGACTAACGCGATTAAGTCGACGATTATATACGAGAATAGGCGATAACAAACATTTAAACGATCAAAATGGAGTCAGATCAAACGGGCCACCAAAAAACTAACGTCAACATATTACAACAGTACTTTTCGAGCAAAACAATAATCTGTTGAGGTATTTATATGAGATCAACTTAGACACATATAATTGAAGTAATACATAAGTTTAGTTTAAAAATAACCTTTATTGTGTTGTGTAAAATTGGCTTAGAAAAAATTCATTAGAAATGTTAAATTCTCAGCAACATGAAAATGCATAATAACTGAAGTATTCAAATGCAGTTTTTCAATAACGATTACTGTTTGAGTTATATGTTCCTCAATCTTATGTCCCATATAATCAAGTCTATAAACCCGTTTTTTTTCTCATCTTCATATTTTAATTTTATAAATGTATGATCAGTGTTTTCTTTGAAATGTAATAAATACGGTATAAGTTATATAATTCTCATAAATGTTGTTTTTCTTGTTATATTACCATAAATGATTATCTTAATTCAGATTGAATGAGTTTTTTCTCATTCATTTCAATCCAAATCCAAAATCATTTTTTAAAAAAATACTCACAACCAAAAATTGTGATAAACAAAAAATAATATCACACTCAATTTGTAATAATGTTTATGAATTCAAATGTTTAACGTCAGATAAATCAAATTACATATTTCTTTTGATGTCATAGAAATCTGAAATCTAGATTGTATATATTTGATAAAGAAGAATGTTCGAGAAAATGATAGTTTCATTAAACAATATTAAACATAATGTACTTTATTAAATGATTAATAGTACTTTAAGGTAAATCATTAATACTTATTCAAAATAAATGAATTTAACATTCGAACAAATGTAAATTAGATTTTAGAAAGAATATGTAAAAAAGTTCTAAAATAATTTCATACTTGAGTGAATAGCATAAATTATCAGTGAAATTACAATGTTTCTCATTAATTTAAACAATTTTAGATATTTTTAATACAGTAATATAGTTAACTTTGTAATATTGGTTTATTTTATACTTTGATTCTTTGTCGAAGTTTTAGTGTCACTGAATGTAGAAAACGTTATCCTTTAGTGAGATATCATATTGACAACATAGTAATAACTAAATTATAAAAATGATTGTTCTAAAACCACTTAAAAACAACCGAAATAAGAATATAATAAGTTCATTAGTGAATTGACTAGTAATATGCACTGAAAAGAATAGATGTTAATCAGATGTTTATTCCTGAACACCTAACTTCAGAGTGCTAAACACTAATTTATGTGGTGGACTATCTTTCATTCTTACAAAATATAAACGTTTATCGTAGTTGTGTTGTAATCACAAATAAAGGATCCTGACAGAATGGTTTACATGATAATGTTTAGAATCACTACAAAGCTTCATTGTCTCTCGTCAGGATCAACCATGCAAAAAGAAAACGTAGGTTTACGGTGTAGCTACATTTATAAATGTGAACTGATATTGATCTGATTTTGTGTTACTCCAAACAGCACATTATGTGTTTTTGTTGTGTATTCACTAAGTTTGCTGTTACCGCCTTCAATGGCTCATTTTTAATTATTTGTGGTGATTTTAATTCATGTGATGCTAGCTTTTTTGGTCACCAGGTCACCAAAATTTACTTAATATTCCCTTTTGTCCGGATGCTCATTTGGAGTCAATTTCCATTACTGACGTGGGAATATATGTGACTCGTAAACGTTCTCCATTGCCTAGTTCTGATCACCATATTATCCGTGTTCTATGTAAAATTTATGACAATCTTATAAAGAGTACACTCTAACATCAGACAAAGAAACCTAAATACAGTAACCACTAAATAGAAAATACCTTAAATCTGAAAAACATATTTCGTATAACAAACTGATATTTATTTACAAATGACTTATTAGAAAACACTGCTGATGTTATCAAATATAATCCCAAATTCTCCTTTGATGCTTCTTGTCTCACTGAGACCACTTTTGTAAGTTTAGGTCGACTTGAATTTCAACAACTAAAGCGATTACGGAGAGCAAACGGAAGAATGTACACAGAGAAAAGCTTTAGAAGATCATATCATTCTTACATGTTGGTGTTGGTCTGCATTGTAACATCTCCCTTTGGCTCTCTTACAAAACCACTACTATTAAACACATTTGCCAGCGTCATTGCCGAATACAAAGTAACTGTGTTCTGGCCTCTCTGAGGAAAACGGTACACTGTATTTGAAAGAAAGTCCCCAACGTCTTTACTAACTCAAAAAAGTGTGACACAAGGAACTGTTCTTACCTCTTTTCCTTTATATTTGTTACTGAGTGATTTGCCATCTTCTATGGAAAACACTTGCTGGGTATATCTATGATGTCATTGTATGTGAGCCAATTTCCCCATTTTTAAATTCTCTAGAGATTAATGAGTTTTGTCTCATATTGTACTATGGTCTGCTTTTAGTAGTCTCACACTTAATCTTTATAAATTTTAAGATATTTGTTTAAGCTTGAGACAGTAACAGCACTTAAAAACCCCGTTAGACTTCCATCACATTTATACTACTGGCGATTCTGTAATAAAAATAGTGTAAAACTCCTTTTTCTTCATGTATGTTTTCCTATGATCTCCCTTGTTCTTCCGTTCGACTTATTATGTAAAGAAACTATATGCTTTTGGCACTGCTCGACATTCATTTACCGATCGATATATTCCCACATATTAAAGCTATTATATATTGCACACCATTATGCGTTCACGGACTTTTAAGAAAAGATTTCTCTGTGTTCCTGATAGTGCTAAACGCGGCTAGAGGATGTATCTTGAATCTTTTAGAGTCATTATGAACAGATATTTAAAATCTTGCAAACTCCTGGAAATTATTATCTTATTAGATATTAACGATCCACTCCATCCACATCTTCCGCCTGTATATGTTCTACCGGAACAAGTCGTCGATAGATTAAAATCTATTACCTTAATCAAATGTATGAAAGCTCTACAATACCATTTCTAGCAAATATACTATATGATGAATAAGTTGTAAGTGCTTATTCGGTCAACAAATTGTATTCTTAAAGATATTGCTAATTAAATGTTGTAAAGATCCTTATATTCTTGAAGAAATTTCATTTAAATCCGTTCAGTTTAATTAGTTATTCTATGTGTATATGTATGAAAGTTTCGATTGTATTTTCTTTTTGCAAGAGAAACTTATTGAAATAGTTTTTGCTATACATTCTCTATTGTTCTAAACACATAATGTTCAATAGAGCCATCAATAATAATAATGACCGAAACTTGATAATATCACAAATTTTCCTGTTTTTCATGATATTCTTCCTTAAAAGTATTCCTCATATAAACCGTGAAACATAACTATCCTTCCATAATTGTGATTATTCTTGCTAGTTGTAAACTTATACACAGTCTTCAATCTATAATAGTGAACTTACACTTTGTAAAAAGTAATCACGTTCTTCCATAGCTTTCAAATATTCATTTTCACTTTGTTTTGCATTAAAACGATAATCTTTAACTTTTCCATGTAAATTATGATAAGATTTTTCTAAATTTGTTGTTTTCTTTGACCAATAATCAGCTGTTGCACGTACATCACGAACTTCTGCTACAAATAATTTTAATAAACTATTGAAGAAGAAAAAGAAAACGTTTTACCTGATTAGTGTGATTATGAAAAGAATTCTATACAGTTGATTCTTAGCAAAACAATACTGTATTAATATAGAATACAATTTATTAAATTATCTCACTTGTAACTAGTCAAAAATATGCTAAAATCTTTCCTCGATTACTTCTACGTCACTTAGAGTATGGATCTCGATTTATTCCCTTCTCATTTCAACAATAGAAAAGATGAAAGAGTATTTGATCCTATACTACTTAATATTTACGATCAGTATGAAAGTATATTTTAGGATTCACAAATATAATCATTTTGTTGTTTAAACATATAAAAAGCAGAAGAGTTAATTACAATTTCTGTAATTTTAAAATAGTTAAATTAAGTGTTTTAACAGCTTGGGAGACAATTTTCATTCATAGATTTCATTTAGGATTATATGTTAATAAATTGAATGAAACACATTGGTAGATACATTTTCTTTTCAATAAAAACCATTTAACTGTAAGCATCATTATCGCTATCAATTTAAACAAAAATGAATTGATAACAATGATATTTAACTCCGCTTTAAAAGCTTTTTACTATTTACAACTCAGTCACCTGGAACGAATCCAGTTTTGCATTTGACTTACTATGAAATTATGAGTATGTGATATGTAAAACCTTATTTCGAGAACAAATCAGCTTCCAGATGAATAGGAAATTAGGAAAAGATGTTGTAAGTGGATAGGACATATATTGCAGAAATCAAACTGCATCACAACCTTGAAGGGAAACGGAAAAAAGGCCGGAGAATACTCCGCGTCGAGAATCGGATGCAGATATGAAAATGATGGATAGTAACTGGGAAGAACAGAAAAGGATTGTCCAGGACAGCGTTGGATAGAGAATGCCGGTGGGCAGTCTATGCTTCTCCGTGAGGGTGTCAGGCGTAAATAAGTAAGTAAAGCCTTATTTGTTGCGTATTCACTTGTGGATTTATGGTGAACAGAATGCTAATGGCATTGTTAACTGACACTGGAAAACTTGTAAGAATTTAATCTACACTTGTATGATTAGTGAATATTGTTTCATTGTAATGAAAGTTTCAAATGACATGATAATATATAAAATAATTTATTACCAAATAAAATCTTTTTAAGTTCTATCGATTTGATGATAAACAACGAAAATCATGTTAATTACCCCAAACGATAAATTTGAAATAATCTCAGTGATTTCAACCATAACAATCACAAATAATGTTCTATCTAAACTTATTCAATTTCTGTCAAACTATTCGTTCTAATACTAACAAATATTCATATAAATTATTTCGCAATCGAATTAAATTATAATCACCGAGTTTTTATTCTACGATTTTTAAGACAAAATGTCTGTCCAAAATATCTGTTGACCAAATCTCTTGACAAATCTATTCGTTTTATCAAAGCGGTGGTCACAGCTGCGAGAACATTTTAGAGACCGTATTCACGAAGCCAATATGAATCTGCTATCACTGAGTTTAAGGATTGGTAACATTGTTGACGTCTCGTCCGTTATCAAACCGAAGGAAATAGGATCCAATGTTAACGAATTTTTTAAACGCAGGGAATAGTTTCATCATCAATCGTCAAAACAGCGGCAGATAAGGAAGTTTGAAAAAATGCTGAAACACTCATTAAACCACCAAGTTCAACAGACTGGAGATAAATCAAACACGTCGGACATCAACAAACTGACCATTAATTTACCAGATAAAAATCTAAGTACCCATGAATTGTCTTTGCTTAAAGAAGTCTTAATTTCAATACAAATAGACCACAATTATCACCTTTCAATATTATACCTGCAATTAAAATCTCTTCGCTGATGAAACAGCGAATGAACTGGGGAATAAAATAGCGGCCACTTTATTAAATCAAAAACTACACAATTCTAACCTAACTAAAATGATTTATATCCAATAAAACAGCTGAGAAGCGATAATACAATTAACATTACGAGAGCAGATAAAGGTAACGTGACTGTTATTCTGAACAAATCGGACTACGAGAAAAAAGCCAGGAAACATCTCAAACATGACCCATATAAATTAATTAGAGAAGCGAGACGTCGGATTAAATTTAATAGGCTTACGGCTGAAAATAGCGAAATTTCACAGTCGGTTAAGAAAAACTAAGACCGTTATTTCGGTTCATATTATATCCAAAATGCTGTGGTCTTTGTAGGTTCTATAGACTACCGAAGATTTACACGAATAATACTCCGCTAAGACAAGTGGTTGATTTTACAAATTCGCCGAAATATAATCTAGAGAAATACATAGCTGTAATATTCAAACCATATGACTAATTGGCTAATCATGGAATTAAAAACTCGACCGAATTCAAGGATAGTTTTCTAAAGGCAGTGTAGTGAACAGAACACGGATGGTGACAATCGAAAGTACTTGTAAGAAATTACAGTTACTTGATAAAATAGAAAAACCATATAGTAAATGGTTAATTTGCAAAATATCAGTCCACCATATCAACCTGTACTGTTCCTGTTGCAAACATCAATCCACTGTCTCACATTTCATTGTTCATGCGTTTTCTCACAAATTTCATTGTGTTCTCGCTCTCCCTTTATTGATTTCCCCCCATCTTCTGCTGCCAGACATTACGTTTTTAACTCGCGTCATATACTACTTACATCAATATAAGTAGCATGCACCACAGAAGGACAACAGAATGTTGTCTGTGAAGTTGCGAGAATATAAACAATGTTTGAAAATTATCCTATATCCTAAGTTGATCTGGAGAGACATGAAAAGAGGTCGGTGATGGCGTTGCATGCGTTAAAAACGGTACACAAGATGAATTTCGGATTGACTAAAATACTTCAGTAAGGTTTTGGCACACATAAAGTAAGACTGACAGCAGAAGCGCTGTATTTAGGGCTAATAAGAACAGGCTGAAAAGAAAATATGGTATTCAACTAGCTACCATGTGGCAAATGTTCATTAACATGTAATTTGAACCTATCTCCATTCAACCTTTTTATTTCACATGCTTCGTTATTCTGATATCTTAGCACTACAATTATTTATATGATGGTTCTCATATTACATTCACATAGACAGTTGAAAAACAGTTTCAACTCTCACTTTTACTTTATGTAAAACAAATGCACATCTAATATAAACTATCAATAACTCAAACGTACACATACATTCACATACACAATCATTTATCCATTTCTCTTCACACTGTGAACCTTCTACATGTTTATCATTTAACTGACTCGTGTTATCCTATTTACAAAAGTCAACATCTGAATATGATTAGATAAGCACAGTAAATATGTGATTTGATTGTTAAGCTTAACGTATTATTTGATATTTTTGATTTTGATTATTATCCTGAAGAAGTCCGAGAAAGTTTGCTGGACAAAACTGACGAATTATTTAAAGTCCAATGGATGAGATTACTTCAAATATAATTTCCATAAATAAAGAAAAAAATTAAGGTCAGAATGGGTTTTGTGGAGAGTTTTTTTATTTATTTTAGAAATTACACAGGTCGAAATCATGAGTCAGTTGAAGTTAGACCACCATTGAAAACCTGGAAGCACTGGACGGCCGTTTCGTCCTGGTATGGGACTCCTCAGCAGTGCGCATCCACGATCCCGCACCACGCAGGGCTCGAACCCAGGACCTACTGGCTTCGCGCGCGAGCACTTAACCATTAGACCATTGAGCCGGCATCCAACGGTGTTAATATCTAACTCCAACCAATCCACGAAGTTGCGCCACCATACACCATTGTCTTCAGTGAGTTGTTATCTCACAACAGACCGGTTGAACTCCACTGGTAACGGCTTCTCACTAGAACTCCAGGAGTTTTTCCTGAAGTCAGTCACTAGTGAGCAGTTGATTATTATCAGAATGGGTTTTGTGGAGAGATTTTTTAGATCTAACAATCGTGAAGTAAACACGTAATTTGCAAAATGTCCATCGATTGTCTCATCATGACTCAGACTTCATTGTTCTTGCATTTTCATGCAAACTGCATTTTGTTTCCATTCTTTACTGTTTGATCCTCTTGTCTCTCTGCTGCTGGACCTTCTGTTCACGACTAACATCACATACTATTTATGTCAATATAAGTAACACATACCACAATATAACCACATTTCACTCTTTATTCAATTTTGTCAAATATGTACTTATATTCACAATCGACCTAATCAAATGAGTAAGGATAAAGATTTATGTTATCAAAACCAAAAATAAGTGTTTATTCAAATAAGAATTATTTGACTGGCAATAGTTTACACAAATTGAAAGAATTTTTAAATGGCATATGAATACTATATTTTAAGTAGTGCGTGATTATTGTACTCAAATTGAATATGAAGATTATTCATTAGTCACTCTTTTTTGATGGAGTTTCGTTCTCTGAGCTGTATGCTTTGGTCGTGGAGCTTTCATCGTTATTCTGAACGAAATCATCACAAAAATTCAGGCAGAAGTGAAGTGTTTAAATTTCTCCACATGCGGTTCACAGCTTGTTCTGTAAACCTCAATGTTGATTGGTTCTTATTGACCTTAAACTTGTCATTGTTTACTTCTTTGTTTTGGTTGTACCTGCCATTGATTTGACTTTTGTTCCTATGCTTGTGAATAATTTTTCTGGTTGATTGATAAATTGGGTCGATTTCAATATGCTTGTTGATTGCTAATTGACCTGAGTTCCAAGCTTTTGAAAATTCTCTCATGTTTTTGAAATTACCTTTGTTCGAAATTTCCACATTTTTCCAGTCGAATATGTGTCCACAGTCGTCCACGTGTATTGATATAAGTGAGGAAATGTCATGGCGTTTGACCACAAACTGACGTTCATGCAGGCAAAGATGAAGAATGCGTCCACTTCGTCTAATATAATGTTTTTCTCAGTTGGAATAATTTATTTTGTAGATGATGTCTGGCTAGTCTTCTTTTGTCATTTCATCGTTTGGTTTGTTGGTTTGTGTGCAA